ACAACATCCCCGTCCCCTCCGTCCGCTCTTGGGGGGCTAATGCCGCAAGGCGCTTTCTCTGCCACCCCCACACGTGTTGAGCGGGAAGAGCCAGCCTCCGCCAGCACCCTCCTCGGGAGCTCCGGTCCGCCTTCCGCTTCCCAGCCGGGCCTCGGCTCCGCTAACCAGCACCCTCCGGTCCGCATTCCGCTTCCCAGCCGGGCCTCGGCTCCGCTAACCAGCACCCTCCGGTCCGCATTCCGCTTCCCAGCCGGGCCTCGGCTCCGCTAGCCAGCAAATTCCCACTGGGAGCCCTAGTGTAGAGCAGCTGGTGGCAGGTTCTGGAGGTTTAGCCACCGTGCCAATTAAACTTGTCCATTCACTAATCGCACCGGAGACGGCTGGGCATTGTTTGATGAGATTTGATGGGGGGTGGGGGGAGTGGAAAACATATCCACTTGTCAAAATCGAACCTTCTCACGGTTCTGACAAAGTTCTTGACTTGAATCATTTTAGAGAGAGAAAAAAGAAGTTTAGAGACTGTCAAACCCCTTCGCTGTGACATTTTCCAAACGAAAAGTTCCGCGTTTCCGGCTCAAAGAGCTTTTTGGTTTAGAAATGTAATCGCATTGTGGCAAAAATAATTAACAATAACAACGGTCAAAGTGTTAATGAAACATCTTTGAAATGATACAAACCACATGTTCCGACTGGCCCAAGTCAAGAGGTTTCTCGGGCTTTTCAGTTCTCGGCAATGTTTAAATGTTGATGTTTTGTCCCCTTTCGCGACAGGAAGAATTCCTGAAATCGCAAAACTTTGCCCAGGATGGGAGTACCAGGATTTCCCACCAGCGCCAATCCTCCTCCTTTGTGTCCTGCCCTGAGGGGCAGGGGCGCTCGCTCAACCTCTCATTGTTACCCTTATTCCTTATCTGTGTTCCTGTAGGGCTTAGGTCCCTCGGTCACAGACCAGGACCCTGCCGTGCTCGGCACTGTACAAACACAGAGCAAAAAAAACAGTGCCTGCTCTGAAGCGCTTACAACGTCAGTATAAGACGAGAGATGACGGTGGGAAGTCCAAGGAGACAATGAGGCGTACTGCTCGGGGAGATTTGCAGGAGGCTGGCCTGCTTGGCTGAGTGGACACCCTTGGGAGTCTCATGGTCAGGCCAGAAGCTCATCGGGCTGAACGGCTTTGTTCATGAATATAGCAGCCGTGGTGCCCATGCCCTGTTGGTCAGGCTGGGAGCTCTTTAGCAAACGGGACTTCCTGAATGTTTGTACATCCCCAAGCGCATGTGGCCCTATCCTGGTCCTTGGGGCCACTGGGTACTGCCACAATATACATGATATCTTCTTAATAACAGAATAATCATTGGCCCAGTGCACATCACCTTCACAATCCTCTGCCGGAACCTGCATAGACTCAATTCACATCCGCTCCAGACTAGGCCCCTTTTACTATTGGTCACAACTGTGTTATTGTCGGGTTGGGGAACGGATGAGTGGAAGTTTCAGCGGACAAACCAGCCAGGACTATAGAGAGTACAGAGTGTTAGCGATGCCTTGGCGTCTGAGGACGAGTGAGCGTGTGATACTTGGTCTGGGCCAGCCCGGTGGTCAAAGCCTGGGGGAGGGAGAGCTCAGTGGTTTGAGCATTGACCTGCTAAACCCAGGGTTGTGAGTTCGATCCTTGAGGGGCCACTTAGGGATCTGGGGCAAAATCAGTACTTGGTCCTGCTAGTGAAGGCAGGGGGCTGGACTCGATGACCTTTCAGGGTCCCTTCCAGTTCTAGGAGATAAGGATATCTCCACATTTATTTATAAAGCTCTGCACTGCAGGACAGAAGTGCTGGGTTCCTACCCCAGGGCTGGGCGTGCTGACGAGACAATGAGCCCGGATTCTAGCTGTGTAAGGAAAGTGGTTCTAACGAACAACGAGGGTAGAGCCCATCCTGCCCTCCTCAGCAGGAAGACCTGTGGATCCGATGCGAGGTACTGAGGGTGTCTGTACAGAGGATTATAGACTAGAGGCAGGCAAAGGGCTCAGAGAGGGATATGATAAACCACTTACGCAGTAGAGCTGGCTGAAATGTTTTTAAATCATTGGTGAAAAGTTTTGAAATTTCAAACTTGTTTTTATTTGCAAGGTTCAAAATGGACCTTGGTTGGTTGGGTTGGGTTTTTGGGGGCGGGTGTTGAATTTTGATATTGAAATATTTTATTAAAATTTTGATCTAAACTTTTCAAGGGTTCCTAGATTTTCAGGCCAGAAGATGCCATTAGATCATCTGGTCTGACCCCCACATAGCACAGGTCAGAGACACTCCCCAGTTATCCCTGCACTGAGCCCAATAACTTATGTTTGACTAAAGTAGATCTCCCAGAAAGGCAGGCAGTCTTGATTTGAAGACATTTCGTTTACTGCAAACCAGGTTTGATTACCTGGCTATAAAAAGAAAATTGTTAATATCGACAGTAAAAATGTCTGTATGAAATCTTGCAAGAAATGGAAACAAAATTGTCAACTTTTTTTGCAAAAATACTTATTTTTGAAAAACAGCCATTTTTGACCCAAAAAAAGTTTCGTTCAGTACTTTTAGCAGCTCTGGCATGCACACACAGATGAACACACAGTGCCCGTGTGTACACATGATCATGCATGCAGCCACGCGCATACACACATGTGCATACACTCTTGGAGTAAGGAATAAATCTGTGTTAATTCCCTACACGGAGCAGATCAGGGGAAAACAGTGAAGAGTAAGAAATACCCCACAAGCCAAATTCTGCTGTAACCCGCTTAGAGACAGATCCAAGGGTATAAATGACCGAGGTAGCCTCAGAGCGCAAGTGCAAGTTGAGGGGGAAAGAGGCTCTCCGTAGAGTGATGCTCTTCGGCTCAGGGCTCGCTCTACCTGAGCGGCAGGTGGCGGGAGATGAGCACCGAACGTCGCATCTTGGAAGAGATAAACACCCCGATGGGCCAATTAATCCACGTGGCCTCAGCCCTGAAGCTGTATGTAGTGCCTTATAGAGGAGGGGGCAGTCCGTGGTGTGTGTGTGGTGGGGGGAAGGTCACGCTGCATACTACTGGGGACAAGGGGGGAAGCCCGGCAGAAATCGAAGTTCTACAAAGACGTTATTAACTAAGAACAAGAGAGAAAGTTCAAAGGAACCAGCTTCTTTCCAGACCCCGCCCAGATACTAACGTGATGTACGCATTAATTTTCAGGAAATTCTGCCATCCCGCTGGCCTGACCCTATCCCAGAGGCTCCGCCAACCGATTCCATCCACGTCCGGGGGTCAGGCAGCCCTGGAAGGCGACTCACTTAGCGACGGAGATTCATGCTGCGCATCTCACGCCACCACAACTGGGCTTCTCCGGGGGCGAAGTAAGGCCATGGAAAAGAACTGCTCTAGGCTGGGATTTCCAGAGCAGCTTGTGGGCGTTAGGTACCCAACTGGGAGGGGGGAAGCATGCGGGGGCCCAGTGTTTCCTGAAAATGAGGCCCCTTCCAGTTGGGCCCACCAAAATTAGGACACTCAAAATTGCTAGTTGCTTTTTAAAATCTTGCCCTGGGTGACTTGTCCAGGGTCACGCAGAGAGGCTGTGAGTCCAGGAACTGCA